CCGTGGGAATGGAGGTGAATGACCAACCACAGTTGTTAGGAGGCCTAAGCGGATCTCAAGAAGAGACTGAAGGAAGGGTGGCGCTAGGGAGCAGGGTGACGCAGCGTCTCCCTGGCCTGTGGGGATGGGCCCAGGATGAATTCAAATAAAAATAAAGCCAATCACCACCGAGACACTTCGCTCCCACAGCCCACGGCTCCGCACGAGGAAGGGAACCAGACCGCAGTGGGCGCAGGGGCTGGGAGGTGTGGCCCTCCTTGCTGGATGGGGCGAAGGTGGGCCGAGCACTGGGAAGTCCACCGGGCCTTCCCTGCTGTGACAGCAGAGATACCGACAGCTTTCGGAAGCGGAGGGGCGGCTGTCACTTACTCTGGCCGCAAGAGAGCCTTTCTGGGCCTCAGTCTTTTCACCTACAAAATGGAAAGACCATTCCTACCTTGCCAATTGTTGCACTGCAGGAAACGCCCCTGGAGCTCCTAGCACTTAGTAGGTGCTCAGTAAATGAGCCCCAAACTCATCCTCAGCTGACCGACAGGCTCCAACCTTGTTGCTAGATTGGAGATTCTCTAAACCTCTCTGAGACCCGCGCTAAGAAGAATGGATAAAATGTCACTTCTTCCCCTGATTAGGCCTTTGGGTCTCAATTTCCATTTTCTACTTGACTCTTTAAAAAGGAAACAAATCAATTTATGGGAAGGTAGGACAGCACAGGCAGAGAGGCAGATTCTTTGCAGTCGCCTGGGTTCCAGGCACTCCGAGGATCCCATTCTACAGATGGAGGAGCTGAGGTGGAGGCACAGTGTCTCCTCAGGTAAATGCCAAGACGTGTTTGTGCTGAACAACATTCAATAGGGGCAAAGCACCTGGGCCTCGGGTAGCTTCCATTCTTTGGCCCACCTCAACCCTGTTGCTTAAACTCTCGTTTACCTAAAGCCCAAGGGACAGAAGACAGAAGTGCCTGGCACGTAGCAGACACATAGTACACGTTTATCGAGTAGGTAAGAGTGACTGTGAGAGTAAACAGACGAACAAACAAAAAAAAGAATGAATGAATGAATGAATGACTTGCTCAGAAACGGAGCAGGGTTCCCAGAGGGCGAAGGCGATTCTCCCACAGGGTGTCAGCCAGGAGCAGGGGGTGTGGAGGGGACTCAGGATGCTTGCTGCCCCTCTGACTGCGTGCCCTTGCATCACCTAGCTCCCCATGCCTCAGTTTCCCTACTTTTACAAATGGGGAGGCTAATCCTCACTGGTCATGACTACTGTGGGATGAAATGAGTGTCCACGCCACCCCTGAATATCTGTT